CTGTCTAGAATTGTTAGACTATTCTATGATTATTATATTATTTTTATTCAATACAACAATTTCAAACCAACTTTTTATTTTTATAATTTATTAGAAAAGTACACGTACAATGCAGCGAGATAAATCTCGATTTTAATATTTAGTTTTTATTTTTTGTCTCTATCGATATAACACGATTTTATGTGGTTTTGAGAAAGCGATAATGTTTTTATTTTGGAATGAAATATAAATTTGAAGATTACATAAAAATTTGAAAAAATAAGTTGATATTAGTATCAAATTAACTATTTAATAGTTGTCGTTTTTTTGATGTATTTTTTTAATTCAATTTTTTATTATAATTTAATTTAGATTTAATAACAAAATAATTTATTTTTGGTTTAACAATATAATTTTTTATAAAGATAATAATAAACATTTTGTTATAACTCAACGGCTATCTTAATTATATTTTAGATTTTCTATATTTAAAATTAATGTTTATCTTGTATTTGATTATATTTATCTGCAGTTAGTTATACGAATTTAAAAATGGGGCTTTAATAAGTTGTACTTACGCAAAATTACTTGTAATCTTGAATTTTAAGTAATATGCATTAATAAACAGTACTTTATGCATAAAAAAAATTGTTTTTAAGAGTTTTTGTTAAATGCTTTATAATATAGTATAGATTAGATTTATTAAACACGTCATTTCTTAAGAGTTTAGCTACATACACATTTATTTATATCAAAATCAGGTCAAACCTTACAAGAAAAATATAAAAGGAAGTTTTGATCCTTTTTTTTAATTATATTTGTGTAATATCAACAATTTTCTGCTTATGTGTCACTTAAGCAATCACTTTGCCATTACCGTAATAGATGGTCGGGTTTGAATGATATGGAGTACTGGAGCTACATCTAAACATCGTTTTCTTATTTGGAAAAATCAAGGATCCATTTTCAGATTCAAAGTTATGTCTTGTTTGAAAATATTGAAGTAGTTGTGTATCAACTTGGCAACTTCAACTCATATATAATCATGTATAGATTAACTTAATTTGGTCCATAGTGGTTTGTCAATATTTTATATTTTCGTTCTTATAGTTTGTCTATTCTAATTTCGTTATCATAGTTCGTCATTTTGCTCGGTTTTATATCTCTTTCTAACGTATGTTAAACTTCCATTTGTTACGTGACAAACATTTTACTTTTTTTTTCATTTCCCTCCTATTTTCTTCCAAAATTTATTAATACATTATCGTATATGAAAATGAAATATACCATATTATATTATGACAATGGTATATATATATTTATATAATTCATGTTGTATTATGTACATGTGTATTTTTGTTTGTTCCAACCAAGAATATCTCAAGGTAATTTTTATTAGCTAGTGATTGATTGGTTTGGGCTTTGAGTTTTAAAGATTAAAAGTATTTGAAGGTCCTAGGTTCAAATCCAAGAAGGAATAAAAATCTCCTTGTGGCCACGGAGGTTCAGATTCGATAATTCCGGACTACCCGCAAAGTAGGTGGTCATCCTAAGATTAGTCGGTTCAAGAAGGAGGTTGGATTATTGTTTGAACTAAGAATATAAAAAAAGCACATCAGTCTCTAGCTAGGATAAGAAACTGTAAATTTTAGTCTTGTTTTTATCATTTGCAAAAGCAAAGAAAGATGATCTGATTTGGTGGAGATGAGAGAACAAAATATGGAACTTTTACCTGTTTTCTTGGAACCTTGATTTACCAAAGCAATATGAGGTGGATGATTTCAATGAATGCTTTTCCCTCCTTTACATAAATAAATATTTATTTAAATAAAATGGAATTTAAGGATATAAAATTAAATGAGTAGGTGGAAGATGATGGTTGGTGAACCTTGAAGACTGATGAGGAGGTTTCGTCTGAGATCAAGGCTTATCGATTGAAGGTGGTTGCCGTAGATGGGTTTCATGGCAGGGGATGGGGCTCACGCACAGGTGGTTTCGTGTTGGGCCAGGTTGAGCGGTTGAATGCATTTGAACAATCTAATCTAATGCTTGCGGTTTGGAAAATCTCAATCCAACTCAATTCAAACCGTATGGGTTGGCCATGTTGATATATAGAAATGAAGAACAAATTGAAAATATATGTACATGAAGAGAGTACGTAATGGTGTAATTATTTAATATACACATAACAGAGACTCAACAATCATATTAAATCCAATAAATAAAAGAATATCTAATTCATCAATTTAAGTTAGGTTGATAGGTGTGATAGCTTTTTTTAACATCCCTGGAAGGTTAGAGAAAAAGAGGGTATAATAATAAAATAATAATAATAATTTATATTTAATACTTATAATTATTTCATTTAGAGGATCCAATCTATAATTCTTATATAACCACATGGACGAAATCTGTAATTTACATTAAATTAAAAAAAAAGGTTAATTAAAACATTTAACACCTATGCATATCAAGATTTTGCAATTATCATTCATACAAATGCAATTTGTTTATATTTTTAGAACATCTCAAACAACTATATTATTTTAAAAATATTAAAGATTTTAGAAAAATTAGATCAACGGTTTCCACATGGATTCGCAAAGTCGTCTTAAAGCCATGTTTGCAATTAATATTAAACTCTTGTATTTATATTTTAATAAATGATTTGGACATGATTTTAATTTAAAAATCAATGTTTTCATATATAAAACCGATATAGGATCTATTAAATAGATTCCTTCTTATCTTTTCATTAATCTTAACCTTAAAATAAATAAATGATGCATATATTGTCGTAGTTAGTTATCCTTCACTATCATGATGAATCATTTTTTTTAGAATAATGTGAAGTAACGATAATTAAAATATTAAAAATAATTTTTAAGAGTTTTTATCAAATAATTTATAAAAAAAACATGATCTTACCATAGTTTATTTCAATTGGATTTATTATTTATTATAATTTTTTGTATTAGTATAATAAATGACAAAAATCGTCCTTGTGCTTTATTGAAAAATTGGTTTCATCCATTCACTTCATTTATTACATATGTTTTTGTCGTTTACATTTTGTCACCCCCAAAAGTCTACCGTAGGCATTTAGCCATTGTCGCAAGGAATTCTGATAGCCAACCTCTTACGGTTCAATCTATCATGCCCGACTACTGTGGAATTTGAAATCTAAGAGAAACATATAATGCCCCTGATTCCAACGACATGCATGCACTCCAGTATCTCCTTTTATATATTCGTTAATGACTGGAGCCTTAATAAGAAAATAATTTATATTTGGTTTAATAATATAACATTTTATAAAGATAATAATTAAGTATTCTGTTAGAACTCAATGATTATCCTAATTATATTTTAGATTTTTTATATTTAAAATGAGATGTTTATCCTGTATTTGATTATGTTTATCTGCAGTTGTAATGTACATTTAATGGTGGAAATCTCTTTTACGTTTCTCATTGATACCAAACCCTAATAATTTAACAAACTGTACTCTTAAAAAACTAAGAGATTCTATGAGAGAAATTCTGAATGTTTAGTGATAGGTATGTTATTTATTGAACCGTGTTTTTGCAAGTGACTTAGTAAGAGCATCAGCTAGTTGATCCTTGCCAGAAATATATGAAACACACAACTTTCTACTTTGGAGATTCTCACGAACAAAATGATAGTCAAAAGCTAGGTGCTTCATTTTTTTAGTGAAACTTAGGATTTTTTTTTAGTATATAATATTTATATAAGATAAATAGAATAAATAAACCCACACACTCTCCTCATCTTTGGTTAGGTTTGAACCATTGACCTTCTAGGAGGCGAAATACTCGCATACCGTTAGGCCAAAGGCCCTTTGGTAGTGAAACTTAGGATTGTCGACAACATATGTAGCTCCCAAATTATCACAATATATTACTGGTATGATGGGTAGATAGCCTAGCTCATGAAGTAGGTTTTGGACCCATAATACCCCTGCCATAGTTGCAGCAACAACTCGGTATTCGACTTCTGTCGATGAACGAGCAAGAGTGTGTTGCTTACGTAAACTCCAAGAAATAGGATTTCGACTCGAGTATAAACAATGTAGCTGGTCGTTGAAATGTAGCCATCTTTATTACCGGCCCAGGAAGCATCTGCGTAGGCATGGAGAGTGGTAGGAGAATCATGACGCAGTGGTAGACCTTGTGTAATTGTGTACACTACGTAGCGAAAGAGTCGTTTGAGATCCGCCCAATGTTCTTCAGTCGGCTTGTAAAAGAAACATCTAGTATGGTTAGAGATAAGTATTGTAGACTTCTCTCAGTTGCCATGTATCAGTTGGGCTGGCCAAAGGGGTTCCATTATATAGTGTTAGGGTAGAATGAGAAGCCATGGGTGTAGGAACAGTTTTGGCGGCTTCTATATGAGTATGTGTGAGGAGGTGTTGTATGTATTTATATTTGGGATCTCATCAGGTTCTTATCTAATCATATTCCGAGTATAAATATCGCTTTAATCTTCTCCTAAGATATGAGAGAGAGAGAGAGAAAATCTGCTCTCTTTCTCTGGACTATCACTTTCGGTTTCTAAGGTAGTAAGGTGCTTCTACGAATTTTCTGCCTCTACTTTGCATTAGATTAAACACTATAGTTGTTAGTGTTCAATAAATCTGCATCAAATCCTGGGGATAAGCGATTATGAGACTCACAAATCCTTTAAGGACAGGATACTTTTATCCATGCAGTTTCTTGATCTTCAGACACATTCCAGGTTGGTTTTAATTTTAGTATTGTATTTATTTTCATGTTCACACAAGTGAACAAGTCTGCTTTTATCAAATCTATCAACGAAGGGTGGATTTGATTGGTGCAGTTTTCAACCCGGTTATGGCGTACATCAATATATAAAAAGGATAGGTTTAGATCTTTAAAATAATGTTTCAATCATGAAATTCCTTAGAGATCAACAGATATCAACATATATATGTTACAAAGCTAGCTTAACCAATAACCATTACCTTCATTTGTGGAGGCTCAAAACCCCAACCAAGAATCAATATAGCTCTCTTCTCCATCATCACGAGTTCTGAACAACTCCAGAATTTCATCAACTGTGCTATCTTCAAGTTTAGCTGAGGTTTGCATCCACCCATTTAGATCTTTATCATGTAGAAAAGAGCTCAAACTTATGAGTGCTGATGGATGCCCACCAAATTTAGAAACAATATTTACCAAAAGCTTCTCGTAACCTTCTGCAGGTCTACGTGCACCAAATGCATGCCAACAAAAGAGCTCAATGGCCTCTTCCTGATTTAGCAGTCTCACATTATATATTACATTTATATTGTGAGCTTTTAGCAAATTTTTGTTTCTAGTTGTGATGATTATTCGACTCCCCTCGCCAAACCAGTCTTGTGATCCAGCTAACAACTTTAGGTGGTCAAGGTGATCGACATCATCAAGGACAATTAGAACACTAGTCGTAGATAACAAACTTTTCATCATGGATATTCCTTCATCTATGCTCCCTAACATCACTAATTTGTCTTGGTTTCAAAACTTCTGAGAGAATTTTTTCTTGTAATGTTTTCAGACCATGCATTCTTGATTCGCCACGAACATTTCCGACAAAGCAACAAGCTTTAAATTCATGACATATTTCATTATAAATAGCAGATGCGAGAGTAGACTTACCACTACCCCAGATCCCAAGTATTCCAACCATGCGAACACCACCAAACCCAACCTGTAGTTGTGATTTCAAATCTTGCATGCGAGTCTTCATTCCATTTTGGTCTGTATCCTCACTTGTGCTTGAGGAAGTCAATCTTTGTAAAACTGAGTTAACAATATTTTTTATTAGCTCTGACCTGCGTATTGCATATATAGGGTGATTAACTCCTATGCCATCAAGGACTTGACCCTCAACCATCAAACAGAGATTGTAGTACCTTCAATTCCTTTCTGAATAGAGTAATGATTTAGAAAAATATATGTAGAATGCAAAAGATTATGTCAAAGTTAACAAGAAAATTACTCATGGCTGTTGTTCACGAACCAACCGGGAATGTTACATGCATCAACTAGTGCTTTTCTCCATGATTCAATTTTCTTGACGTTTGTCATGTATCTACCTTCTTCGAATTCCTGATATTGTTTTCGTATGTACTGGGGTTCCACATGATAGAATATGGGCATAACAATTTGGCCTCTCTCATCCTTGCATTTCATAATAAGTGCAAGTTCTTCCAAGCACCAGGAAGATTTGGAATAGTTGTTAGAGAATATGATAACAGCAATTCGTGATTCTTCATTAGCCTTCAATTTTGATGGATTGATGTGTTCATGGCTCACAATCATTTCGTCATCCCTGTAAGTCTTGATTCCTTGTCGTGCAAGAGCATGATAGAGATGATCCACAAACCCATAGCGAGTGTCCACTCCTCTAAAACTAAGAAAAACATCATATCTCCATGATTGAGAGGAAGAAGCAGGAGTGGAGTCAGAAGATGAAGATGGAGATGGAGATGGAGATGGAGATGGAGATGGAGATGGCATTAATCTGCATGCATATAGATTTGTTTGGAATTAGTATATATAAAAGGACAAATGTACCTCAACAGACTATTCAAGTAACTGCAAAACCACTTAGCGAAAATAGCTGAATTGGACTTCTTTGTTAAATTAATTATTTTCTCCTAATCTGATATTATTCTCTGAATGATTAGCCTAAATCTTTAAACATGTTTTAGAATAAATACCCTGATTGTGTGATCCTGTTATCCTTGGAAGTTGAAAGTCCTTGTTGAAGAGCAGCATTCTGCCATAATCCACTGGATGCCTGCGGAAATGGAATAACTAATTGAAGTTCAATTAAGTGATTAATGGAAACTATATATAGATATTGCAAATTAAGCCAACTTACTGTTACTTGGTAATCCAAAGCTTCTTGTAGTCGTTTCACAATTTGACTCATTGTTGGCCGATCTTCTCTACGTGTCTCCAAGCATTGATAGGCAATGGCCGAAAAGATACCCAAAGAAGTTGGGTCATTTGTTTTTGTAAATCGAAATCAATGATCACATTGATAGTGCCCTTTGGGTAATGATTTCTAACCAATTTGAACAAAAACTCACCTTCATCACCATACCCTCTAACACGTGCTTGCCTTCCACACAAGACTTCAAACAATACAACCCCAAATGAATAAACATCAGATTTTTGTGTGAGATATTCTGGATCTATATATCCTATAGTCCCACAAGCAGTGGAGATAAGAAAGGTATATTGCACATTCGCTGGACCTATTTTGGACAACCCGAAATCCGAAATTTTGGCTTTCCAGTTCTCATCTAATAAGATGTTTGAGCTCTTCTGTTAAAAATAAGTTAGACATATGACAGTTACAATTATGGTAGTTTTTGTCTTGCAGTTATTTCTAACAGATACAACGTTTGATGAAAGGTTGTGTCTGTTCATCATGTATATATATGTTGGATAATACCCATTGTACATTGTGGAGTTGTTGGTGTTAATAAGAAATTACTGTTATAGCAAACTCCCTTCTTTATGCATGTGCAGAAACTGTTTAAAGTTTCTGCAGATTTCTTCTGTGTATCTCCAACAAAGTGGTATCAAAGCCTATGGAGAACTCTATGTTGAGGTCCAACATCATCATGAAGGTACTTCAACCCATGGGCAGCGTCTAAGCAAATCCGAAGACGTTGGATCCAATTCAGATCTTTGCTTTGTAAGACTTTGTCTAGGCTCCCATTACTTTCATGCTTATAAACAAGTATCTTCTCTCCGTCTTGGTCGCAAAACCCAACCAGTGATGCAAGGTTTTCATGTTTATAAGCAGAAAGCAGCGCAATCTCCATCATGAATTCATGTTGCCCTTGCCCACTGATGCGATGATCTAATCGCTTGACGGCGATGGTGCCATATTGCTCGGAATGGCCTTGGTACACGTTTCCAAATCCACCCTTTCCAATTAAGTTGTTTTCATCAAAGCTGTTGGTTGCCGATAATATAAGTGGGAGAGGAATCTGCAAGTGCTCCACTTCTCTCAGGGAAGCCATGATCGTTGGATTTATGGTGTAAATTTAGAAACAAGAAAAAAAAGGTTGCTACAATTTTCAAAACCTTTGGCAGGAGCTTATGTTGATGGAGTTTGATTTTAGGAGAGATGTAGGCTTTCTTTTTTCTGTAGTGGGTGAAGTAAAAGAGATGAGAGCAGGCCACTTTATACATATAACAAAATCAATTTTATTATTAAACTCACTCTCTCTTCCAAATCTACATGTCTGTTCATATCTCACCAACGAGAAATTATGATATATTGAATTTTTATTTATTTTAAATTTATTTAATTCATATTTATTTTTGTTTTTTTACTTGTATTCGTATGATTGATGAATATAAACGGAACATATGTATAAACATTTTGGGATAGGAAAAATGGTGCTGGTGATCTGTTTCCACCACTTACTGTTGTCTGCTACTGGATTCCATTCCATGTGTATTTTTGTTTTTTATTTGGTTGACGACAATCTACATGCCATTGCCAATATCTCATTAAAAGGAGTAAACTAATGATTTTTGAAAATTTTGGATCGGGTCTCTGAAATAAAATAATTATATGTGGTTTTACTTTTGTTACGAATTGCGTCCTTTATTCTTACTCTAATTTCAAAGGTGAGAGAATATGGCTTTAATTTCAAAGGCAAGAGCGAGAATGAGAATCAGAGCCACGGGCAAAGCTTGTGTAGGGAACAAGGTTTCCTTGGGCGGGAGCGTAAGGTAGAGGTGGCCGGATATAACGAGTTGGTTACGAGCGTAAGGTAGAGGTGGTTTAGTTGGAGAGCCAACATCAATATTCGATAGATCAAAGATCTCGACACATTTCAATAGATGGTATCTGTATTCCTTATGTTCCTTGTGCCAGAGGGAGCTTGTATATAGAAACAAGATACAATAAATGCATTTGGTAAAAGTTATATAGAGTTTTTCTGATGTCAGGAGCATAAATTTCAAGGCCTGTAAGATGAAATGAAAGCTCAAGAAGTTCAAAGTTTCAGTGAAGTAGAGACTTATCGAATATAGACCACCAACAAACGAGTCAAACTTAAATAAATCTGTTCAGATTCACCACTCTTGTGAACCAATGGATCATCATAAACAAATTTAAGGGTTAAGGATTATGCGTTAATGATACATGAATTCATCAAGACCATTACATGATCAATTGATCTCCAAAAGATGGTCATCTCCCGGTCTCATTTCTTGTTCAAAGTGTTGTACTTTATGCATACACAATTATTTATCTTGGATTCAATCGTAACTCGAACATATAGTAGTATGTATATTCTTTGAATGCATGAGACTGAAGTAGATAAAATACATTGACTTTGCCGTAGTTAGATCTCGTCTGCTACATTATTCCCACATATTCTTCGTCATGGTGATCTCCATTAAAAACAGTCATGCATGATTAGTTAATTGCGTAATCTTTTTGGTGACTCTAAAGTGAGTAGCTTTGGTCAATGTTTTCGATATCAAGACCCTTAAGCTCTATCACTGATTCCAGGTGTCCTTTTAGAGTATAAAGCTGCTTTAACCTGCAACCACAAATATGGAGTCTTTTTTAATTTATTTAACTAAATATCATCGTTTCTCAAAATATTTATGGTATTAACGTCCTTGGCTATATAATATAACTCAAGTTTCAAAATGATTTGAAAAACAAAATGACTTGAGATCACATGAGACCAGTTTGTTTTTGTGAGACACGTAAGACCACTTTTTTATACTTGAAACTTCACAGTAAAACATTGTGAAGGTAACATTTACAGTGTCTTTGCTGTGAAGGTTCGGCTTTTTTTTTATCTTCACAACATTTTTCTGTGAACTTTCAAGTGTAAAAAAGTGGTCTCACGAGTCTCACGTGAACCCAACCCAAACAAAATATCATCCCTAACAAAGCAGCGAAAAAAAGAATATCCATTTTTAATGACCCTCCTAGGAGGTCAATGATTCAAACCTTACCGAAAGTGAGGATGGTATGTGAGTTTATTTGTTCTATTTACCGTCGTAAATATTATACACTTTAAAAAAAACTTGAAGAAAACATTAATTAAAATAAATAGCCTAAATCTTTAATCATCTGTAAGAATGAATACCTTGGTTTAAGATCGTTTATCACGAAAACTGAAGGTCCTTGGTCACGAAGAGAAGTTGAAAGTCCTTCGTGAACAGCATCATCGTGGCATACTCCCCTTGATGCATCGTCGCATAATTCACTTGATCCCTATCAGAAAACAAACAGATTAAAAGATTATATACAAGAATGAGGAATACAGATTCCAGAATCGGTTATGTTAACTGTTTATGATTCTCTGAATCTTTATAAGAAACAATAAAATGAGATCTGAAAGTTAATTAACTGTATAGTATAGTGTCACATATCGGTTATACTTGGACCAATTCGCCTCTGTATATGTCGGAACCTCTTTTCTCCTCTCATCTCAAATGGGTTCTTTCTGATAGTAGTAAATCTGAAGGTTCCACATATTCTCACAAGAACAGAAAATGATCGATGAAAATGCAAAAAGAACTTACTACAAGTTGGTAATCCAAAGCTTTTTGTAGCTGTTCCACAATCTGACTCATTGTTGGGCGATCTTCCCTACATTTCTTCAAACATTGATAGGCAATGGTCGAAAATGTACTCAAGGAAGCTGGGTTCATTTGTTTTCGAAGATCCGAATCAATGATTTCATCTAATGTACCATTTTCGTAATGATTTTGGGCCAATATACATAAAAAATGACGCTTATCCTCAAACTCTACAGCACGTGCTAGCCTTCCACATAAGACTTCAAACAACACAACCCCAAAAGAATAAACATCGGATTTTTGTGTGAGAACACCATAAGTCAAGTATTCCGGATCAATATATCCTATTGTGCCACAAGCATTGGAGATAAGAAAGGTAACCGGCACATTGGCAGGACCTATTTTGGACAACCCAAAATCCGAAATCTTCGCTTTCCAATTCTCGTCCAACAGGATGTTTGAGCTCTTGATGTCACGATGTAGAACTCTATGGTGTTGTCCAACATCATCATGAAGGTACTTCAACCCATGGGCAGCGTCTAAGCAAATCCGAAGACGTTGGATCCAATTCAGATCTTTGCTTTGTAAAACTTTGTCTAGGCTCCCATTACTCTCATGCTTATAAACAAGTATCTTTTCGTCATCTTGGTCGCAAAATCCGACAAGTGATGCAAGGTTTTCGTGTTTATAAGCAGAAAGCAATGAAATCTCCATCATGAATTCATGTTGGCCTTGCCCGCTGCCGTGATACAATCGTTTGACGGCGATGGTGCCATATTGGTCGGATTGGCCTTGGTACACCTTCCCAAATCCACCTGTTGCGATGAAATTCTTTTCATCGAAGTTGTCGGTTGCCAATAATATGTGCGGGAGAGGAATCTTTAAGTGCTCCACTTCTCTAAGGTAAGACATGATCTTTCGATTTATGATCAAATCGATATTATGGAGCAAAATAAATAGTGTTGTTTTTGTCAACATCAACATGAAAGCCATTGTTGGCCCAGACTCCACCACCCATTATTTCTTTGGTGGGGACACTTTACGTGTCATTATTTCGTAAGGAATAATAAAAAATTCCAAGAAATGGTCTTTGTGCAAACCCATCTAAGATAATATACTACCATGTTTAGAGTCCGTTTATAAAACGCTTATCGGGTCATTTATCTTATTTGGTGAACATGACAAGGATCAAGGATCTTTCCTTAACAGGCATGCCAACAGCCGAGGTTCTAATCCGGTAAGTGGGGCAAGACTCTAACCGTTAGCGATTATCGAGTAAGAGAAGCTTATAAACAATCCATTTTGATGACCAAGAATATTACCCCACAAGGTAAGTAAAAGTGATCCTCTTATCGATAAACTCTTATCGATAAATGCTTATTTGATAAGCATTTGATAACAGCCATTTACATGTACATGATTTTCAAATGATGAAGTTGATAACTTTGTTTCATCAATATTTTAAATGGTGGATGAAATGTCCTTTTCTCTCTCCTTAGTATTGGTTCGTTTATTTGACTTTTTGATGAAATTTTCTCCTATTTTTCTGATCTCTATCTTAATTGTCAAAATTTCTTTTATACTTCTTTTCTACCGATTTCAAATCAATAGCTAAAATCATATTTAGGGGTTGTTTACTAAACGCTTATCAGGTTAGGTCATTTTACTTTATCAGATAAACATGACAGGAATTGAGAACCTTACGGAGTAAGAACTATGACAAGGACCGAGTCTTACCCGGTAAGTGAGAGTAACAACACTTGCCCGGTAAGCGCTTATCGGATAAATTGTTGCATATTATGCCGTTTTAATGGACTAATCTTACCCAATAAGTTAAGGGAAAGTGTTGACTCTTACGGTAAGCATCTTGTAAATGGCCCCTTAGATTCTAATCCATACTTATCCTATCATATAGACACACACATATAATATATGTTGCAAAGCTAGCTTAACCATTACCTTCATTGGTGAGGCTCAAAACCGCAACCAAGAATCAATATCTCTCTGTATTCCATCATCACCAGTTTTGAACAGCTCCACAATCTCATGATCTGGGATATCTTTTAGTCTAGCTGAGGTACGCATCCATTTACTCATATATGCACCACGTAGAGAAGAGCCCAAACTTATAAGTGCTGATGGATTCCCATCAAATTTAGAAACCATATTTACTGAAACCTTCTCATAACCTTCTACAGGTCTATTTGCACCAAATGCATGCCAACTGAACACCTCAAGAGCCTCCTCCTCGTTTAACAGTTTCATATCATATACTACCATATTTATCTTGAGAGCGTTTAGCAAATTTTTGTTTCTGGTGGTGATAATTATTCAACTCCCCTGACCAAACCAGTTTGGTGATCCGGTTAACATCTTTAGGTGGTCAAGGTGATCGACATCATCAAGGATAATTAATACACGAGTACTAGAAAATATAGTTTTCATCATGGATATTCCTTCTTCAATGCTCCCTAACACCACTTTTCTTGGTTTCAAAACATCTGAGAGAATTTTCTCTTGCAATGTTTTCAAACCATGCATTCTTGATTCGGCACGAAAATTTTCGACAAAGCAGCAACCTTCAAATTCATGACTTACTTTGTGATGAATAGCAGATGCGAGAGTAGACTTACCAGTACCCCAAGTCCCACATATTCCAACCATGCGAACACCATCAGACCCAACTTGTAGGTGTGATTCCAAATCTTGCATGCGAGTCATTCCTCTAATAATTCCACATGCTTTATTACTCGACATTAACTTTGAGCGAAGCAATCTAGGCGAAATGGTGTCAACAATACTTTTGATGACTATCGTCCTGCAGCATGTTGCATGGCATGCATGCCATACATAGGATAATTAGCTCATATTCACACAAAAAGTAGTTTATGCCATGAAGTACTTGGCACTTCACTATCAATCAAAAGCATAAACTACTTCTCTTTTAGAACAAAACACAAGCACAAACTTAAATTTTACATTAGAACCCAACTTGACAAACAAAATCAATACTAGACAACTACTTTATGACTATGATCATAATATTCCGAAAATAGGCCTCAACATTTCCCAACAACCTGTCCAAATAAGAATAATAGAGAAAAAAACAAACAAGAATTTACGTGAAAGACTCATGCCGGACAAAACCAAATTAAGGCGTCTGAAAGAAAAATCTACTAAGCAAAAAATTGTGTGATTGCAATCATATGTACAGTTCTAATATCTCAAGCCACCCACAATTACACCCGCACTCTCCAAAATTTCAACTATAAGAGCATCCCTATAGAAACTTTTAAGATGAAAAAACTAATTAATGAAAATCTTAACACCTATTGGATGAGTTTTTTCACCATTTGTTATTTTTCTAAATAAAAATGCAATGATAATGACATGCAATTCGCTTTTAATTTCCGGTTACGATTAATTTTGCTAAATTTTGTTATTAACAAATTTATTTAGTTTATGCGGAAACGTGCAAAGCCATATTGTCAATCATAGGGTTTATTATATCCTACATCTAAGATTAGGCAATCCAGGGTGAATTTGCGTTAACCCAACATAAACGAGATTTTATTGGATTTTATGCTTAAAAAAATGCATACAAGACAATCGTATTAATTACAAAGCATAAATGAGCATGCATAAAGAGACCGTATCAAAATTTAATTTGAAAATTACCAACTTGTAAAATCAATAATTTTGTTGAGATGAAAGGAGTAAAGAGAAAAAATATACATCAATGCACAAATTAGGTCAGAGTTAACAGAAAAATTACCTGGTGTCGTTACTTGTAATAAAACCAGAAACTGAAGTTGCATCCATCAGTGCATTAATCCATGATTCAACTTTGCTTATGTTGGACTTGTGGATAGTAAATGCTTCTCCGAATTCCCCACTTTGTTCACGGACCTCCATGGGCTGCACCTTTAAGTATATGGGTATAACGAGTTTCCGTTTCCCTCTAACATATGCAAGTTCATTCAAGCACCGAGATGAACTGGCATAGTTCTTGGAAAATATGATGAGGACAATCTGTGATTCTCTTATGGCTTTGAAGTGCGAAAGAGTGATGATGGATTCATCCCCGTCAAGTGTCTTGTCATCCATGTAATAGTAAATCCCTTTTTGTCGAAGAGCCAAGTATAGATGATCCACAAAAGTATCGTCTGCGTCTGGTTCTCCAAAACTGATAAAAACATCATAAGTCCATAATGGAGAAGCAGTGACGTGAGTGGAGCGAGAAGGCGACGAGGATGTTGATCTGTAGATTTGTTTGCAATTAGTATAAAAGCATCAATCTATGTATTCAAAAAGACATATATAACTCAATATACGATTGAAATGAACCAAATAATTGAGGAAATTCCATAACAAAAAGCTAAGAACAATTCAGCTAATGCTAAAATCGTTGGTTTTTTATCGAAACAATAGATATATACCAAAGAGAAATTACAATCCGTTCAAATTTTATGGTAAAATTTATAAACGACTAACGTAACAGATAATTCATCTATAACAATCATACGAGTCTAAATACAAAAAAGTTAGAAGTTTGTTACATATTTTTGTTTATTATATATTTTTTATATATAGCAATATAATTAGAAAGACAAATTATTATTATTTATTAATTTATTTCCAGTAGAGTGTTCCAAATTCATGTTTCATGCTAAATATTTCTACAAACTACTGCTTATAAATACCCTGATTGTGTCATGTTGTCCTTGGAAGTTGAAGGTCCTTGTTGAAGAGCAGAACCAGGCCATCCACTTGCTGCCTATGGAAAAACAAACAAATAAATGGAACAATAAAGTTAAACAAAAAAGTGATTAATGGAAACTACAACCTACAACATCACAATTGAAATAAAGACAACTTACTGCTAGTTGGTAATTCAAAGCCTTTTGTAGTTGTTCCACAATTTGACTCATTGTTGGGCGATCTTCTCTACGTTTCATCAAGCATTTGTAGGCAATTGCTGAAAATCTACTTAAGGAAACTGAGTCTATCTGTTTTTGTAGATTATAATCAATGATAGCTTTTAATGTGCCCTTTTCATAATGATGTTTGACCAATTTATACAAGACTTGACTTTCATCTTGATACTGTACACCATGGGCTAGCCTTCCACACAAGACTTCAAACAATACAACCCCAAAAGAAAAAACATCAGATTTTTGTGAGAGAACACCGGTTTTTACGTATTCTGGATCAACATATCCTATTGTGCCACAAGCTTTGGAGATAAGAAAGGTAAATGGCACATTTGCAGGACCTATTTTGGACAACCCAAAATCCGAAATCTTGGCTTTCCAATTATCATCCAATAGGATGTTTGAGCTCTTGATATCACGATGGATGACTCTATATTGAGGTCCAACATCATCATGAAGGTACTTCAACCCATGGGCAGCGTCTAAGCAAATCCGAAGACGCTGGATCCAGTTCAGATCTTTGCTATGTAAAAGTTTGTCGAGACTCCCATTGCTTTCATGCTTGTAAACAAGTATCTTCTCGTCGTCTTGGTCGCCTTCCAGTGGCCATGAGGCAACTTGAACTGATGACCTCTTGGGAGCAAACCCAAGGTCTTACCAGTTGAATTACCCCTCAAGTTATATTTATCTATACTTGAAAGAAAGAAGCAACAGTTTGTGTGCTTGTTGGAGCTATTAAGCATCTTAAACTATTCCCATTCCATTTTTCAGCTGGAAACAGAACTTATAAACAGCTATCTCCCAAATAATTTCCAACAGACAATGTAACTTGGTTGGAAATCAGCTGTTTGAACAATAACTTGAATTTTCTATATGTGATTGGATAGCAATGAAGCTCATGGGAGGATATTACCACAAATGATGAACTAAAAAGGACTAATGGATTTGGATAAACATTAATTAGATGAAAGCCACTTAAAATGAGAATTTTCATGCTTTCGTATTAATGAGGCAGGTTTGAACACTTGTCCGTGTACATGTTTTCAAACAAACATATTGCCTCTGATTGTGAACATCACATCAACTAGACAATGGAGCATCATGCATTCCCTCGCATGTCTCGTTGAGTTACCTTGAAATTATAATTGTTCGTCTAACTTCAACATCCACTCAAAAAGTTAACCAGGTCTAGCTCTAGTCTGGGATCTGACGTTACTCACAACAATATCATTTCTCATTTTCTTATCGTCTCAATTACTTGGTACAACTTGACATCTTGGTGAACGCGTTGACGGATGATCTCACAATAAGTAGAGATTGGAAAAACAACATCAAATAGAACTAAAAACTGAGAACTAGAACCTACTTTTCTAATATCATTCTTCAACAAATGATTGAGGTTGGTTCAATGGAGCTTCCCATTCCCCTACGGCCCTACCCAATGCTAATACATTAAAGGTCCTAGACTTTGGAGTTGTTTGTGTGGAATCCAATGCTTCATATAATAGGATCCATCCGATTCTTATATAATCTCAATTACTTGATACAACATTAGACCCCACAAAAGTTCTAACTTCACAATAAGAGCAAAAATCTCAACACCGCCATTTGGCGATAGGCCACACATAAGTTATTTGTGGTTTATATATTTCTCATATTCCTTGTGCCGGAGGGAGCTTGTTTATAGAAAGAAGATATGTGAACTATAGAAAATACACACATGTGGACCAACGATCAATTGTAAAAACTATATCTATATGATGGCATGAGCAACAAATATAGGGCACCCCATAAGGTGATGTCAGGAGCATAAATTTCAAGCCTGATAATATGAAATGAAGCTCAGCATGTTCAATGATCAACTAATAAATCCACTACCAACTCCATTCCATTTAAGTTCCCAAACATACCCTTTGAGATCCATGTTCACCATACATCAACATTCGGTGAACCAATGAACTAATATACACCACAGTTTGTAGTGTTTCTAGAAAGACTTGAACTGTTCCTATGATTCTGTTTAAGGCCGTACAGAGTTTTGTATTGTTTGCAGAAATACCAGAAACCTATCTCTTTCACAAATACTGGGAATGAAATAAATTTTGCATATACTTCCTCAAATACTTGTGTCTTCGGAAACTAACACCACATTGCTCACAAACATTCACCTTCTCCCCTTCCCTTTTCTCCCCTTATCCATCACCTTATTCTTCCTTAATTTCATGCTACATAACACAAAGTTTACTTTTACAAATCAGACCTTTAAACACAAGAAATTATGTTAATTATGTTTATCAAAGGTACGACCAATTTCATTCTAAGAAACATAAAGTTACAATTTGCTACCATAGAACAGTTTCAGTTAGAATTGTATAACTTATGCTTCTTTGAAAATCAAAATAATAAACGCACACATTTATATTAAGACTTCATTCTAATCACATTAAAGAACGTTTATGCCTATGGATACTAAATATTTCATGTACACTTATGTAATTGTATGAATAAACAAATCAAAATCAGAGTGCATTTATATACTTCACTTCATAGATGTGGTGTACCTGCAGTACCTTCAAGTCCTCCACCTCTTCCCAAACCTAGCTGGACACATCCCATGATATTCAACAATTATCTGTTGTATTCGGCGATTGTCTTCATTTCAGAAGGTTTGTTGATCAAAATTAACTATTCTAGACTAAACATATTACCATGGACCACACATATGGTGGTTTTCATTCAATTTAAGTACATCAAGTTTTATGAACATACACATAGTCAATATACTTGGGATATATCAAGTAAAAATTTCCTTTAATTTAAGACAGAGAGAGATAACAATAACCTGCACATCAAACATTTTTCTCCTTGTTGTCCATTCAGATTGAAATTCTTCATTATCTGCAAACTGCAAGATCATAAATGATCAAAGTAGTAAATACTTCTTTACCCTTCATGAGTTGTTTTTGCTTTAACTTCCATAGATTAGCTTCGAATTCCAAGAATTCGAAGACCAGAAACAAATAGAAACTGAACAAAGACAATGCAAATTGCATGAAAAAGGAAAGAAGTACATATGTGACATATAAAGTACCTGTATATTGTATAATCATATACTAATGTAAAATCTCCATTAAAGACTACGGCTATGAAAGATAAAATCAGAAACTAACAGCCCGCAAAATTTCCTAATCTTGATGCCGATGACGATGAATCTTTAAACGCAAACGATGGACATGATATAATCCAAAAGACACCATTTCAAAGAAATAAAAAGAATCATTGGGAACACAATGGGCAATCCGAGCAGTTGCCCCAATAACCAAAACTATTGACCCGTTAACAGATATTACCCGACCCATCTTCTGGATTGAAAGACCAGGGTTAAGAACAAGAAACCCCTAACTTCCAACTGGTTTGATGGAATGAAATAGATTGGGGGATTTTGCATTCTAATTTCATGTTCAGTTTGATGTATTGTACGGATCTAAAGTCTTTTAAAAAATAGGATTTTGATATCTATCGGGATTTTGTATGATCGTATGAAATAAGGGTTTGGAAAAGAAAAGGAAAAATGTATAAAATAGTAATTTATTTTTATAAATTTTTTTATTATAGCATTGTATTTTCAGTTTTTTTTATTACAGCAATATATTTTTAAATTATTTTTTATTAGGACATTGTACTTTGAAAAATTTACCCATTATAGCATTAGGTAACCTTTTGATTTAAATTTACTCATTATATTAAGTTTCAATGCCACCTCATTGTCCACGTAGGCTGTCCACAAGTACTATATTGATGTAACTTTCTTACTACATCATGTACTTTCAAAATTATTTTATTATAGCATCTACTAGTTCTTATTAAACATTGTATTTTTAGTTTTAATATTTAGATATTTTACATGTTATTTAATAAATGTATTAAATAAATTTAAAAATTATAAATTATTCATTAATATACCAATATCAATAAAACTAGTAGAACATAACTTATTTCACTAATATTTTTCAAAAAATATGTGTTTTTTGGAAAAAAAAATTGTTTTTTTTTTACCAAAAAAATATTATCTTTTAAAGAATATATTATATTTGTTCAAAAACTTTTTACTTAACGTATAAATATATTAAATTAATTAGATTTTTTTTTTAATTATTTATTAATATAACAATATTAAAAAATTGTAGATCACAATTTATTTCATTAACATTTTAAAGAGAACTTTAAAAGATATGTATTTATTTGAACAACATAAAATAGGAAAAGTTACTTTTTTTACAAACAAAATATATCTCAAAAATAATGTTTTATATTTATTTAATAAATATTTTACTCTAAGAATATTTAATTTGCATGCAACTTAATAAGAAAAAGTAAAAAAAATTAAATATTGTTTTAGATCATAGCAATGAAAAATGAAAATTACTAATAATAATTTGAAATATATTTTTATTTTAATTTTAGTTAAGTCATCAAAATGATGTGTCATCCTCATCATTTCATTAAAGTCACACAAGCAAAAAAGTCAGAGGGTTAACCGGTTTAAAGGGTAATAGGTTACACATTGCTATTATGGGTAGATTTTTTAAAGTACAATGTCTTAATAAAAAATAATTTGAAAATACATTGATGTAATAAAGAAAAACAAAAGTAGAATGCTATAATAAGAAAATTTATGAAAGTATGTTGTTATTTCATGCATTTAACCCGTTTGGAAAATGTTAAAAACATTTGTTTTATAATAATCGATTAATAAAAATGTAATCTAATTATTTTTATAATTTTTTTTATAAATAACTGATTTCATTTTCGTCCTAAATCCTACAAACCAATTACGTCAATGATTTAAATCTAAATAACTCCAAATTCAAATCCCTTAAAAATAATCCTACAAATCAAATGGACTCTAGCCGTAACTCTCCAAGTACAAGAGGGTTTTTTTACTGAGATGACCCATTTCTTTTTGAGAATCTTCTTGTATTTATACTGTGCAGGTAGTCCCCATGACCAAAGGTTTTTTTTTATAAAATCGATACCGTGAGAACCTTCATTATTCTTGATTGGATCTTGATTCCAAGCATAGTCGATTATGTATGTGTTGTTGTTGTTCATGTCTCAAAGCAATGGAATCTAAACTTCGATAATACGCAAAGTGTTTAAAATACAAATGAAAATTGACATGGATCGGCTTCTTTTAACCCAAAACCCGGCCACTGACATCGAATGCAAGCTCAAAATCTAGTCACTAAACTTGCTTATGATCTAGGAGCGAACTCAAAGGCTACTTCCCTAACCTCCACATGTTGTATGTTTACTAAGGGGTCGTTTACCAAACACTTACCTGGTAAGTGTTTACTGGTAAAATTTAAACTATTATTTACTTACCGGATAAGATCTTAGTCCACCAAACGACATCGTATGCAACAATTTATCCGGTAAACGCTTATGGTGGTAAGAGCCGTTGCCCTCACTTACCGGATAAGACTCTTGGTCGTTGTCTCGTTCTCACCGGATAAGATTATTGATCATTATCATATTCATCCGGTAAGATGATGTGACTTGGTAAGCATTTGGTAAAGGGGGCTGAAATCAAACACTTTTCATTTTCTTTAAACATAATATTTTTTAAAAATATTTAATTAAATGTATTTAATTGTTTATTAACTATTATTACATGATATTAAGTGTAATTCAGGAATGTCCAAATGTTACATTTTTTAAAATAATTAATTAAAAAAATTGAACCTTTGTTTTAACAAGTATATAGACTTGATTTTATACCTTACAAAAATAATCATGCATGAATCTTTAATGTTTGAATCATATTGATTTCTCGGTCTTTTTAAACTTGTATGAAAACTCAAATATTATATCCTTGATCTGTCGAACATCAAGGTTAAAAAACCGCAAACATTGATTATTAATTTAAATTAAACATTTAACAAAAATGTTTTTTTAAGTATATAATATTTATATACGTCAAATGCAATAAATAAATTCAGAAACCCTCTTTATCTTCCATGAGGTTTGAACTTCTTACCTCCTAGAAAGCCAAAAAGCTCACATTCCGTTAGGTCAAATGGTCACTTGACAAAAATGTTAGATAGTGAGTGTTTTTTATACATACATATGTACATACGAATCATATTTTGTTCCTCGAAAAATGGTCATGACACCATAAAAAGTTAAATACGTATATAGAGACATTGGTTCGGTTTATAAATATAACAAGACACAGTTAAAAAATTATATCTGATTTTTGGTTGTTATATTTTGATGACTTATTAGGTACACATCATGTAGGATTACTTGTTGTAGATAAGAGTGAACTACGATTTTCTCGATGTTTATAATGATCTGTCCCTAATATTTAAAAACTGCTTTTTTTCGTCCTTGTTTCCGTTTTACTTCCATTTCCGTCCCCCGTCCAAGTCCATTAAGGATGAGAGTTAAAAAATTCAAAAAAGTGATTTTAGTAAATTACATATTTGGTCCTTATGATATACAGAGTTTTAAAAATTTATCCTTAAATTTCATTTATTACACGAGTAAACTATAAATTTTGTCGTGTGGGTTATACTAAAAATTTTTGGTTAATTAATAAAAAATAAAATTTAAATGAAATATGGAATAGTGAGAGTAAGTGCATTTAGGTGCCGTTTACCAAATGCTTACTCGGATAAGTGTTTACTAAGTCACTTTACTTTACCGGATTAATATGACAAGAACTAAAAATCTTACCCGGTAAGAGCGAAGGCAAGAATCGAGAATCTTACCCGGTAAGTGAGGACGAGTACTCTTACCATGGTTAGCGCTTACCGGGATAAATTGTTGCATACGATGTGTTTTATTGAATAAAATCTTACCCGGTAAGTAAACAATAGTATTAAATTTTACCGATAAATGCTTATCGGGTAAGTGTTTAAGTAAACGGCCTATTAATTAATAAAAAAATAATGGGCTGATATAAACTAAATCCAATTCTTTTTCTCGAATTCTATTAAATATTTTTAGATGGTAATTTAAAAAAAATAAAAAGCTTAAATAAATCAATAAATAAAAGTTATTAATTTTAAGAGATTTCGATCTAAAACT